TGTCTTGCAGAAGGAGGTTGGAGATGTGTGGTGATCGGTGTCTTGCAGAAGGAGGTTGGAGATGTGTGGTGATCGGTGTCTTGCAGAAGGAGGTTCGCGTCCACACGAACCCGGAGCACAAAGGGTGTGGGATCCTGTGAACATTTTTGAGCAAAGGATGGGTTTTAGGAATACCACGGGAGAAGTCACGTGCGCTCAAGCATCCTCAGGAGACATCTCAACAGGTCTGGGGAGTTCTTACCCAGCTAGTGAAGCGGGGTGCAGGAGAACATGACCCCTAATGCTCCTTGCAATAGGATTAGTTCCTTCGCTCTTCACTGTGCAAACGGCAGCAGTTTAGGGAACTAAGCTGATTTTTATCAGCACCTCCTCTCAGCCAAGGTATTTAGATGAATTCGATGTCCTGGAGAAATTGGTGGGTTTTGTTTTTTGCATCTAACTTTTACTTTAAATATAAAATTATGTCTTATTTGTTCACACATCTAACGTGTACACACACAACTTGGAAAAGTACTGAAAAGAAAAATAAGAGTTTTTTGTTGTTTTGTTTTGGTGCCCTTCTTGGGCCTTGAACTCAGGGCCTGTTCTCCGTCTGAACTTCTCTATGCTCAAGGCTAGAGCTCGACTACTTGAGCCACAGCATCACTTCTGGCCTTTTCTGTTTATGTGGTACTGAGGAATTGAACCCAGGGCTTCATGCATGCTAGGCAAGCACTCTACCACCAAGCCACATTCCCAGCCCAAAACATGAGTCTTGAAGTCAGCCAGTGTGAGAGAAAGATTGCCTAGGTTGTTAGCAATTACTTAAGGAACACAATTGTGGACTGTTATTTAGAAGAAGTAAAAATGAGATTTTTTTTAAAGTTTACAAGTTTTTTTGTGAGAGTTTAAGGGATGTTTTCATTATGTATAATTTTTTTATATAAATGTTTTTAAATTACAGTCAGCACTTAAATTTATGGTACAAATTCTTGATGGAAATACTGAGTCAGGAATAAAGCAGTGATGTAAAGTTTTCTTTTGGTGGTGCTGGGATTTGAACTCAGGGGCTAGCATTTACTAATCTGGTATTGAGCCATGCTTTCAGCTCAGTAATCATGTGATTTTACATCTTTTCAGGTATGTAGCAAGTCTCATCCCTCAGAAAACACACACACACACACACACACACACACACACACACTGCCCTCAGCTCCTTGGATACCATTTAAATTTTATTCTCAAGGTTAAATTGACATTTCTAAGTTTGTTAGGCTCAGAACACTGTGCCACCACCAGGTTATTGCTGCTCTTTATCTCACACTTCATTGAGTGCTCATTATGAGTTCGGCACTGGCTAAGCAGTTGGACATATTAGGCCATTTTATTCTCTCCTTGCCCCAGTTAATTGGGAAACTTGTTTGAGGTCAGTGTTGCTGGAAGTGAACTAAGGTTTGTCCAGCTGCAGCACTGTGATCTCTTACCTTTTGCATTTATTGAAAATGCCAACACTGAGTCCTTGTAATACTGCCTTCAATATTGTTCTTCTGTGTATATGATATCTTTCCTGGCCTGGATGATCTGATTCCAGCTTTCTGAGATTAGATGTGACAGTTGGAGAAAGAGAATTTCCAAGTATGAACCACAGCAGCTTTGGAGTCTTAGTCTCAGATTTCAGAAATCTCCAATCAGGCAACAGCTTCCTTCTGTAGTATCTGTGTTTTTATCCTCACCATTGATTATCGACCTTTCTCCTTTCCTCCCTCCCTTCCTCCCTCTCTTTCTTCCTCCTTTTCATCTGTCGTGGGGCTTGAACTCTGGGCCTGGGCACTGTCCCTCAGCTCTTCAGCTCAAGGTGGCTCTGTCACCTGAGCTACAGTGCCACTTCCAGTTTTCTGGTGGTTTATTGGAGATAAGAGTCTCACTGACTTTCCTGCCTGGGCTGGCTTTGAACCATGATCCTCAGATCTCAGCCTCCTTAGTAGCTAGGATTACAGGTGTGAGCAACTGGTGCCTAGCTATTATCATCGTTTTTATTGTCACCAGCCTTCCACATTGGGGGACTTGGTCAGTAAGGTCTTAAGACCATCTACTTTTCCAGTGAAAGTAAGGTTCTTAAGAGCATTTACCTTTCCAATGAAAACCAGAACCTGAAGACCAAATATCTACCTCTTCTGTGAAACTGGAGGTTTTAGGAGCAAATGTCTACTTTTCTAGTGAAATACACATCTAAGTAGATTTGGTGTGGAAGTCAACAAGTCCATAAGTAAATATCAAAGTAAAAATGAAATGTCATGTGGTACATTTCGAAGAGAATTTCTGGAGTTAGAAGATAAAGAGATGGTCTGCATTTATTGTTCTAAGGATTTTGAAACTAACCTTTTGTCCTATTTATGGGAATGTGTTTGTTAACTTTATTAAATTCTTGTTTTCTAACAATCCTTTAACAGTTTAATGAGGTGTGTGAAGTGCTGGGCAATGGGAACAGTAGTGACACCAAGGTACTATGTTCACAGTTTGTGTGGAGTGGCTGCAGGGGCAGTTTGTTTAAAGAATTGGAGAAGACAGCCTGAGTTTAGGTCCACATCCGACACTTGTTAGTTGTGGTCTCTTAGCCAGGTTTCTTAACTTTTCTGTGCTCAGATTTACTCAAATATTAGTACCTATATTTATTCTATAGATTAGAATTGTTGCAAAGCATTTAGAGCACTAGGATTTAGCAAATGATTAATAAATATTAACTATTGCTTTCCTTCATAATAAAAGGAAATAATAATCTTGAAAGTTTAACTTCTGAGCTGGGAGCCAATGGCTCACACCTGTAATCCTAGCTACTCAGGAGGCTGAGATTTGAGGATCACGACTCAAAGCCAGCCAGGGCAGGAAAGTTGTGACTTTATCTCCAATTAGCCACCAGAAAACCAGAGGTGGTGCTGTGGCTCAAGTGGTAGAGTGCTTGCCTTCAGCTGAATAGCTGAGGAACAGCCGTGCCAGTGGCTCATGCTTGTAATCCTAGCTACTCAGGAAGCTGAGATCTGAGGATTGTGGTTCAAAGCTAGCCCGAGCAGGAATGTCCGAGAGACTCTTATCTCTAATTAACTATAAGAAATCTGGAAGTGGTGCTGTGGCTCAAGTGGTAGAGCCCTCACCTTGAGCTGAAGAGCTCAGGGACAGCACTCAGGCCCAGAGTTCAAGCCCCATAACCACCACCACCAACAAAAAAGAGCCGAGGAACAGCACCCAGGCCCAGAGTTCAATTCTCACAACTGACAAAAAAAAAAAAGGAAAAAAAAGAAAGAAAAGAAAGTTTAACTTCTGGTTTTCATCCTAGCACTTGAGATAGGAGGATGGCAAGTTCCAAACTTGTCTTGACACACTCTCTACCACTCCTCGTCCCCCAAAAAAAGAAAGAAAAAGAAAAATTGCCAAGAAACTAGAGTTCAACACTGAGTAGAGTTTAAAATACAAACCCTAGCTGGTAATGTACCTGATTGGTAGAACACTTGCCTAGCATATACAAGGTCCTGGATATAATTTTTAGGATTGGGCAGAAAAAACAAAAGAAAAGGGAAATACAATCTTAGTGTCTCTCTCTTTTTTTCCCCCTTGGTGCTTGTCGCGACCGCCTCGACCCATGACGCGACAACAGGTTCTTCTCTCAGATGGTTTATTCAGGACCTTGTTTACAGCTTCTTTTCTCCTACTTCTCTCCTGCCCTGCCCGCTTCTTCCTGCTTCTCCTTGTTTCTCCTTGCTTCTCCTCCCCCGCGCTCCGGTTATAAGCCTCCTGGATGGCCAATCCTGAAGCGCTACGTGGCATATACTGATAGGACTGCAAACACGGAAGCAAACTAGGAGCCAAGTCATAGCCATATTAGGAGTTGTTTTTTACAGAGAGCACTCGTCAAGGGGGAGACGGAAGGCGGAAGCCCGCGCCATCTTAGGTCGCAGCTTCACCACACGGCCCTGCCATTTTAGCTACAATGTTGCTTTTGCAGCCGAGGCTCCCGCAGCTCTCCACAGTGCTAGTACTGGGGCTTGAACTCGAGACCTGGATGCTCTCCTTTATTTCCAAGTTGGGCTCTTCCACTTAATCCACACCTCCATTTCTAGCTTTTGGGTGGTGAACTGGAAATAAGAATCTTATAGACTTTCCTGCATGGGTTAGTTTTGAATCATGATCCTCAGATCTCAGCCTCCTGAGTAGCTAGGATTACAGGTGTGAGCCACCAGGCTAGTTTCTCATTTTTAATTAAGGACAATGTTAAGGAAATTAAAAATCAGTTATACATATTTTACTTTTTTTTTTTTTACTGCTTTTGTGTGCGTGTGCATATGTATGCATGTCAATACTGGAGCTTGAACTCAGGGCCTTCTGGTTTTGTTTAGCCTTTTATGCTTAAGGTTGGGCTTCTTTGCCTTGAGCCACACCTCCATTTTTGATTAACTGGAGATTAGAGTCTGGTGGATTTGTCTTCCCTATGGTTATTTTTGAACTGGGATGCTGACTGAACAAACTCTTTCCTTTCCCCATTGTCTAAAGTTCAGTGTTACCTCTACATTCTCCTGAGGTTCACTGTCCCTTGGCAGCAATCTGAGGTTCAGTATCCCCTCCCCCCTCCTCCCCAATGAGATTCATTGTTCCCAGCAACCCCAGGCAGTTTTCTCCTGAGGGAAAGAGGTGAAAGTAAATACTCCCATCCTGTTTTTTCTCCTTTAGTCTTATTTTCAGGGATTTTCTTTCTTTTACTTTGCTTGCTTTTCTTTCTTTCTTTCTTTTTCTTTCTTTCTTTCTTGCAGTGCTGGGGGTTCAACTCAGAGCCTTTTGCTGGAGCCACACCCCTAGCTTTTTTAAAAATTTTAATTTTTATTGTGAAAATACTGTAGAGAGGGGTTACAATTACATGGGCAAGGTAATGAGTGCATTTCTTTTCTTTTACTTTCTTTTTTTTGGGGGGGGTCCGGTCGTGGGACCTGAACTCTGGGCCTGGGCACTGTCCCTCAGCTCTTCAGCTCGAGGCTAGTGCTTTACCACTTGAGCCACAGCGCCACTTCCAGCTTTTTTCTTTTTGCTTATGTGGTCCTGAGGAATCGAACCTAGGGCCTCAGGCATGCAAGGCAAGTGCTCTACCACTGAGCCACCTTCCCAGCCCATGAGTTCATTTCTTATCAGCATTGTTGCCATCCATAGCCTTTTGTCTTCTTTTGAAATAGCCAATGAACAGAGGATGGTTTATACTTGTCATTTTGAGAAAAATTACTAAAGAGTTACATTCATATAGAAAATTCAGAAGAAGTGGTTTCTCAAAGATAGAAATAAATGATCAGAAACATTAAATTAGCAGCAGTGCAACACTAAAATAAATTGAAGATTTTATTTGTTTTTTTTACCAGGTTTTACATTTTTTTTTTCAGTTTCCTTTTGATACCCAGGCAGCTCTGAGTATCTGCAAGGAATTGACTCCAGGATCACCTTGGACACCCCCAAAAACTTTATAGTACTGGGACTTGAACTCAAGGGCTTGCTTGGTTCTTTTGGTCATGGTGACTCTCCTACTTGAGCCATGCTTCCAGTTCTGGCTTTATTGCTGGTTAATTGGAGACGAGTCTAGAATTTGTATGTTCTGAGCTGGAATTACAAGTATGTGTCACAACATTCACCTTTAAGTTTCTTCTATAAGGTGGTATTGTCATATAATCTACACACATATATATGTGCACATGTGTTTTAGAGTTCCTCTCTAGATTACTGAAATTAGAGTATAGTGGCATAATAGCTTTGTATTATCACCTGGACATGCACACACATACACACACACATGTGTACATATACTATCCTGTATTTCAGAATTCCTCTCTAGATTAATGAAAATACCTAATGCAAGATAGTACTGTGGGAATAATTCTTAGACTGTATTGTTTAGGGGATAATGATAAGAATAATTTGTGCTCTGAACAGAAGCAGCTGTGATAGGCCCAATTTATGTGCTAACTAGAACTGCTAGATTTCAGGTCTTAATTGTTTCTGAAATTTTTGTTGTTGTTATTGTTACTTTGTAAGTAAAGTTCTTTCTTAAATGTCTCAGAAGATAACCCAATACCTATTATTTGTATTTATATACTTATATATAATGGAATTATGCATTTAAAATAAATACTTAATTTAAAATATATTCTTTCTCAGCCCAGTTTATAACTGGCAAATGGCATTGCAAAATACCCATTTACTTGTGATTTCACGTATGTGTATAAAATACAATAAATTAAAGTTAGCTGGGTGCTGTTGGCTCATGCCTGTAATCATAGCTACTCAGGAGTCTGAGATCTGAGGATCACGGTTCAAAGCCAGCCCGGGCAAGAAAGTCCATGAGACTCTCTTATCTCCAATAAACCACCAGAAAACTGGAAGTGGTGCTGTGGCTCAAGCTGTAGAGTGCTCGCCTTGAGCTGAAGAGCACAGGGACAGTGCCCAAGCCCAGAGATCAAGCCCTACGACTGACCAAAAATAAATAAATAATAAAATAAATTAAAGTTAATATAGAAATGTTAATCACAAAGGTATCCAATTTTAATTTGATCTGATTTAAGAGATTAAATAATTTAGCCCATGAAGTGGATTTTTATTATAAATGAATGCTTCCTTTTTAGAGTGAAAGAAAATGTCTTTATTTAAAGCCCGTGATTGGTGGTCTACTGTTCTGGGAGAAAAAGAAGAATTTGATCAAGGCTGTTTGTGTTTGGCTGATGTTGACAATAGTGGAAATGGACAAGGTAAGCAACTTAGGTCCATGCTCTTAAGCAAACTTTCATGGTCTTACTGATTGAGCCAGGGCCTCACATATACTGGTCAGGTGTTTTCTGCAGAGATCCATCCCCTACCACTACTTTCATTGTATCTGAAGGCACTCATGCCATGATGAAAATATGCTAATTCCACTTGCAAAAGAATTGTTAAATCATTGCTCTCATTATTATATCCTGATGCAAACCCAGCTCCTATCTTGTTGCATTGTTTGTTTCTGTTTGCATCATCATTCGTTTAAATGACCTGTAAAGGGGTTCTAGGACTGAGGGCATGGCTGTCTATCTGCCTAGCAAGTACAGGCCCTGAGTTCACTGCCCCTTTCCCCCCCATTGTAAGAAGAAACAAAAGAACAACAATGAGAACCCAGTCTAGTTTTGTACCATTACTATATGAACTTGGTATTTGTTTAGATAAAATTCATGAGTTTTTATTTTGCTGTTCAGCTCATCATTGGCCTTTAAGAAAGAAAACTTAGGAGCATGATTGTGTTCACTGCATGTAATATTGTATTATCTATGCAATTTTCTTTATTTTGTCTATAATACTAGCAGTAGGATCTGGGGGAAAAGGTGATTAGAGTAAATTATCTTGGTAAAGAAGAAGTCTAGTGCCGATGTCTCACTCCTGTAATCCTAGCTATTTAGGGAGCTGAAATCTGGGAATTGCAGTTCAGAATCAACCTGGACAGGAAAGTCTATGACACTCTTATCTCTAGTTAACCACAAAAAGCTGGAAGTTGAGTTGTGGCTTACGTGGTGGACAATTGTGGGGCTTAAACTTGGGGCCTGGGTGCTGTCTCTGAGCTGTTTTTTTTTTTTTTTTTTTTTGCCAGGCGGAGCTTGAACTCAGGGCCTGGGCACTGTCTAAGCTGCTTTTGCTCAAGGATAGCACTCTACCACTTGAGCCACAGTGCCACCAGCTTTTTCTGTTTTGTGGTACTGAGGAATCGAACCCAGGGCTTCCTGCATGCTACGCAAGCACTCTGCCACTAAGTCACATTCCCAGCCCTCAAGTGGTGGAGTGCCAGTGTTGAGTAGAAAAAGTCAAGTGAGCTTAAGGTCCTGAATTCACCCAGTAGTGGTACACAAAAAAATGACAACAGGGTCTTGAACTGCACTTAACCCCTTATTTCTGAGGGAAATCTGGGCTCTTCCTCCCACCAAGGAAGTTAAGGTCTTTTGTTCACAGGGTGCTTTTTAGAGGCTCCTCAAAGATGGTTTCACCTGCCTCTGCCCAACTCTTACCACTCATAGTTTCCCTGTTATTGAGGCACATAAAGTCATGCCACAACTGTGTAGTGGCCCAGCCTGTGATCCTAGCATTTAGGCTGATGAGGCAGGAGGATTGTGACTTCAAGGCCAGTCTGGGCTATATACTCTCACCCAGATAAAGAGTTATTCCACCAGAACACCTGTCAGAACAATTACAAGTCCACTTCGGCCCGAACTGTCTAAAGCTTAACCTGATTAAAAACTATGCTGTCTCATTTATTGTTTTTTCTTTTTGCTTATGTGGTGCTGAGGAATCGAACCCAGGGTCTCAGGCATGCAAGGCAAGTGCTCTACCACTGAGCCATCTTCCCAGCCCCATTGTTTACTCATCTATTTCTACTAGAGCTATTTCTGGGTGTGTCCAATAGGTTACTGATATACTGAGAGGTCTTCCTTACTTTGCGGTTAGCTGGGAAGCAGTATACAGAAATCATTACATGTTTGTGTTCATGTAGACAAAAACACTGATCAGTATTTCCTAAAGCCTGGACCCCTCATTGTGACATTCTGGAGTGACTCTTGCAGATGAAGGTTGTTTCTTCTAGACATACAAGATCCAGTAAGCTTGTATTCTCTGTACATAGTAAAACTATGTAGCTGCATTATTTCTTCTTCTCTTTTGCTGTCTCCTCCCCCATCTTTTTCTTTGGGGGCAGTACTGGGGTTTGAATTGGGTTTTGTGCTTGCAAAGTAGGTACTCTACCATTTAAGTCAGCACCTCTAGCCCTTTTTGCTTTATTTAATTTTGGGATAGGATTTTGCAATTTTTTTTCTGGGGTTCGCCTTGGACTATGATCCTCCTTGCCTGTGCATCTTATACAGTTGAGATTACAGGTATGAACTGGAAATAATCCATGTTGGGTTATTTGTTGAGATTGAGTCTTGTGGATTTTTTTTTTTTTTTTTGGTGGGCTGGCTTTGAACTGCAAGTCTCCTGATCTCTGCTTCTGAGTATCTGAGATTACAAGTATGTACCATCACACCCAGCCCTGCATTTTGACAAGCGCTAATGTTGAATGGAGGCACTCTATAAAGTTGGACAATACTAATGATATTAGGGAATAGAAAATTGATTCTAACAGTTTTGGCTGTGTTCCTTCATCCCATTCAAGTGGTCAATTGCTGTCTATCCTCTAGCATTTTACCTGCAGTGGGCACAAGTCCCCAGTGACTCGAGGTAATAACTGATGAATTGCTCTGTTACTGTGCACAGTGCCACTTAATCCAGTCTGGAATATGAAAAAGAGTATTGGTTTTCACCTAGACTGAGCTCCCAAAAACAATTCCATTTAACTCATTTGGAAGGAGTAGTTGTATTTGTGCCTAGGTTATACTCTAGTGTTCATTTCTCCTGCAGATTGCTGTTTTTGGGGGGAGAGGCATAAATGAATGGAAACTATGATAAATTTAGGTAGAAAGGAGATGGGAATGAGAGTAAGGTCACTTCTCAGATGCATGCAGAGATCATCTTACTGGGGACAGGAGCATGTGGATCTTACAAGACTGCTGTGGGTCTTCCTGCACTACAGTCGTGCTGAGGTCCCCACAGGAGTGCCTGAGGTCCCCACAGGTTATTATGGGGATGCAAGAGGAAGTCCCTGAGAACTATCTGGACCATTGTCTGCATCCTTGGCAGCTGTCAGTTAATGAGCTTTGTAGTACTTTAACAAATACCAGGGCTGGGAAGGTGGCTCAGTGGTAGAGAGCTTGCCTTGCATCCCTGAGGCCCTGGGTTCGATTCCTCAGTACCACATAAGCAAAAAGAAAAAAAAGCCGGAAGTGGCGCTGTGACTCAAGTGGTAGAGCGCTAGCCTTGAGCTGAAGAGCTGAGGGACAGTGCCCAGGCCCAGAATTCAGACCCCACGACCGGACCAAAACTCAAAAAACAAAACAAAACAAAACAAAAAATACCACACATTTGGGTAGCTTAAGACAACCAAATGTGTTCTCTCATAATTTTAGAAGCTGAAGTTCTAGATTCAAGGTGAAGGCCAGGACTGTGATCCTTCTGCAGCCTCCAGGTTCTTCCTAGCTTTCTCTAGCTGCTGATAGACCCAGGCACTCTTTGGTATTACTCCAGTCTCTGTCACATGGACATAATCTTTCTCTGTGGTTGTTTGTGTGTGTGTGTGTGTGTGTGTGTGTGTGTGTGTGTTTTAAGACAGGATCTCACTATTTAGCCAAGGCTGATATTGAACTTATGATATAGCCCAGGCTAACCTGAAACTCTATTTTCCAAGTGCTAGAATTATAGGCATAAACTGCCTGGCTTATTTTTGGCTCTCCTATTAAGATACTTTCGTAGAATATTATATTCTTAGCAGACTGTGTCCTCACTCACTGTAGCTTATTTATTTCTGCCAACACACCGTTTCCAGATAACATCACATGCATAGGTATGTGAAGTGTGGCCCTGAGCATGCTGTCTGAAGGACATGCATTCTTCCCTCCTGTACTCTGGGCTGCACACTGTAAATCAGGGCAGGCCAGCAAGGCCTCCAGACCTTTCTAATTCAGTGTCTAATTCAGTAGGAGAGTTAGCACAGTGATGAAGTCAGTTTACAGGATTCTACTAGCGCTTCAGCAAAGGGCTTGCTGTGATTGAGTGAAGTGATAGCTAATTCCATTGAGGTTTTGGAAAAAATGCAGTATGTTAGTGCACTGGAATACAGGTGATGTAAGGCTCTTTTTTTTTTTTTTTTTGGCAGTTCTGGGGCTTGAACTTAGGGTCTGCGTGCTGTCCCTGAGCTGCTTTTGCTAATAGCTAGTGCTCTACCACTTGATCCACAGTTCCACTTTTGGCTTTTTTAGGGGAAGTTTATTGGAGATAAAAGTTCCACAGACTTTCCTGCCTGGGCTGGCTTTGAACCTGATCTTCAAATCTCAGTCTCATGTGTAGGTAGGATTACAGGTATGAGCTACTGGCATCTGGCTCAGCCAAGTTCACTTAAATCACCTGTTAGCAGAGTGGCCTTTATATATGAAGCAAGACTGGTTTCTTTTTAAATGTACATTTATCTTTTAGATGTTAGAATGTTTATTCCTAAAGATATTGGCTAATGTTTGTTTATTCCCATCTTTTAAAAAAAACTCTCTGCAGATAAAATAATTGTAGGTAGCTTTATGGGATACCTAAGAATCTTTAACCCCCATCCTATGAAAATGGGAGACAGCGCTCAGCCTGAGGACTTGCTCCTGGAAGTGCATCTTCGAGAGCCAATACTTCAGGTGGAAGTCGGGAAGTTTGTTTCGTAAGTATAGTTCACTAATTCCAGTGTCCTGTCTCAGTCGGTGGGTATAACAGTCTCCAGGGTGTCACTTGTGGACTCTTTAAACAGCATTGCACATGACATATAGAAAGTTGGGATCCTGTCACATAGGTATTCCATATATACTGACTTTTTTTTTTTTGTCGGTCATGGGGCTTGAACTCTAGGCCTGGGTGCTCTCCCTGAGCTCTTCAGTGCTCTCCCTGAGCTCTTCAGCCCAAGGCGAGCACTCTACCACTTGAGCCACAGTGCCATTTCCCCAATTTTTTGTGTGTGTGTAGAAATTGGTACATTTTGAGGTAGAATAAGACATTACTGTTATTATTACATTATTATACTATTATAATAATATATTACAAAGGGATTCCATTTCTATAGCTCAGGTTATGAGTATAATGTACCTTTTTTTTATAATAACGTACCTGAGTGTTCCTGGCATATTAGAGGCTTAATGGAAAAGAAAGGAACTTAAAAAAATAACTAAATAAAGAACTACCTAGTATTACTTAAAGAACATATTGTAGTCAGGGTGCTAGTGGCTGACATCTGAAATCCTGTCTACTCAGAAGGCTGAGATCTGAGGATTGAGGTTTGAAGCCAGAGTGGGCTGAAAAGTCTGTGAGACTTGATCTCTAGTTAACCAGCAAAAAGGCTGGGATAGAGGTATGGCTCCAATTGTAGAGTACCAGCTATGAACAACCAAGCATACTAACAGCTTGCGTCCCTGAGTTAAAGCTAGAGGCCTTGAGTTTCAGCCCCAGTACTGGCACCAAGAAACAAACAATGACAACAAAGAACAAAATGTGCAAGTCCTGAAGGTGTCTGCTTAATAAGACAAAGTAACAGATAGCAATCACTTTTTGGTTTGGATCTTGAAGTTTATTTCTTTTTTTTTTTTTTGCTTATGTGGTGCTGAGGAATCGAACCCAGGGCCTCAGGCATGCAAGGCAAGCGCTCTACCACTGAGCCACCTTCCCAGCCCCTGGATCTTGAAGTTTAAAAATGAATTATTTGGGGTAGAGAGTTCCTGACTTGAAAGGTCAGTTCAGTCTACAAACGTAATCTACTCCATACTACAGATTTGTTTCAAAGTCATTAACTTTATATTTTGTTGTTACTATGGTTTGAATTCAGGGCCTTGTAATTACAAGGCAAGTGCTATAGAAGTTGAGCCATACCTAGCCCTATTTTCTGGATAGGGTTTTGCTTTTGTCATAGCTGGCCATAGACTGTGAACCTTACTTACACCTTCTGAGTAGCTTGGTTTGTAAATGTGTACCACTATAACTGCCACCCTAAGGGTGAATTTGATGTATATCCTGGCCAGATTCAAACTCACATTCCTTCAGCCTCTACCTCCCGACATTACATGAGTTTTCTTAAAGTGATGGTATGTTTCCTTTCTTTTTTTGTCGGTTGTAGGACTTGAACTCAGGGCCTGGGTACTGTCCCTGAGCTTTTTTCCTCAGAGCTCTTTTTCTACCATGTTGAACCACTGCCTGTTTTCTGGTGGTTAGTGATGAGAGTTTCACATCCTTTCCTGCCTGGGCTGGCTTTGAACTATGATCCTCAGATCTTAACATCCTGCGTAGCTAGAATTATAGGTGTGAGGCACCAGCACCCAGCTTCTTTTGTTTTTTAAATTTTATTTTTATTTTTGAGATGTGGTTTTAACATATAGTCTGTATTGGTATATGGCTTGCTGTGTATAACTCATACTGGCCTGTAACACTTGATTATCTTGCCTCAGTCTCCTGAGGGCTAGAATTACAGGTATGTGCTGCTGTGCCCCAAAAGTTTGTGTTTATTTTTATTTTTAATTTTTGTTCCTGTGCTAGAGAATTGGGGCTTGAACTCACAGTATCTCACTCTTGATTAGCTTTTTTACTCAAGACTGGTGTTCTACCACTTGAGTCATACTTTCACTTCCTGCTTTTTGCTGGTTAATTGGAGATAAGAGCCTCCAGATTTGTCTTCTTCAGCTAGCTTTGAATCAGAACCTCAGATCTTGGCCTCCTAAGTAGCTACGATTATAGGTATAAGCCACTGCCACCCAGCTATAGAACACATTTGTGCCTTTTAATGTTATTTTTAAAAATTTATTAGTATTCTTTTTATTTGTTTTACTTTTTGAGGCAGAATCTCACTATGTAGATCAGGTGGCTTCAAACTTGAATCTTCACCCCTGCTCAGGTGCTGGGATGGCAGGTGTGTGTCACCTGACCCGCATTCTGGTGGGTGATCCTCACATCACTTCTCACCTTTGTGATCACTGTTGTGAGGGAGGAGGTGAACATTGTGTGTGGATGTTGTTTTGGGCTTTTACACACCTGTCTCTGTAATCTTACCTGTGTTTAGAGAAGAGAGTGCTGGACTCAGAGCCAGGTCACACAGCAAGGTTCAGGTCTCTGAGCCTACACCTCACCATCTTTCAGCAGCAGATATGCTATTTTGTGAGCATGATGGGAAAATTGTTTTGAGTATCTAGGGCATATAAGAATGAACTGAAGGCATTATCAGTTTCATGAAGCATTTGTAATTTGCATTATCTGGTATCTAAGTGAACAATGGGGATTTATCTATTGATAATAACAGTGTTTTCTAGTTATGACTTAATATATGTCTTACTTTATAATGAGACACTAATACTCTCTAAATTTAAATGATCCCACATAGAGTGAGATATAGAATCAGAATTTCCATCCAGGTTCTCAGATTTTAATTGCAGTCTTTGTAATTTAGAAGAGTCTCAGAGATTGCACACTGGAGGTCTGCTTGTACATGGGACCCTGCAGTGATTTAAATTGAAAAGAGCTGCCAGCATGGAAGAACCAGGAATTTTTACTTGACATCTTGGCTTTCTGGCTTTTCTTGAAAAAAAATGTGGAGATCTGGCCACAAGCCCAGAACCAACTAGTAGCCACATCCATTAGTCTGGCCCTGGTCTTCCCTTAATCACAGCCATTTGCACCTCCTCTCAGTATTGGCCATTTGCTTGACTCTTGGATTTCTAGACTGCCATGTTCCTTCTCTGGAAACTACTTGACATGAGTTGGAAAATGTACTGGGGATACCATATTTTATTTCTATTTGAGAATTAGTCCAAACTGAAATATTTTAAATACTTTTAATAAAATTTCAGTTCTGGAACTGATGTATGCCATTTATTAATAATGACTCAAATTTATGGTACATTATACTTTATAGTACTTTCTCATGATTTTGTTTACTTGAAAACTTTTTTACTTTCCAGAAGGTAATATAGGCTTAGGGAGATAAATTGACTGGTACCAAGTCAATGAGCCAGGACCAAAACTTGGAATTTGTTATTGTAGGAGAGCTGAGAACACGCAGGAACCAACTGTGGCTTGCAGGTTCACTGAGTTAGTACCCTCCCCCTCCCCTTCCCGTTCCCCCTCCCCCTCTCCCACCCTCTCTCCCTCCCCCTCTCCCTCTCCGTTTCCCTCTCCTTTCTCCTTTTCACACCTTCTTTTCTTCCAGTTTCCACCTTCTTTCTTTCTTTCCTCCTGTAGGGTGGTCCATAGGTGCGATTGTCATCTTTGTGGTCACTTTTAAGAGGGGAATGTTGATTTGTGTCCTATCCTCCTTTCTACCTTTCTTTCCAGACAAGATCTCACTCTGTAGCCCAGGCTGGCCTCAGACTTGTTACCTTTCTGCCTCAGACACCTCCGTGCTGGGTTACAGGTTCATACTTGGTGAGGCCGAGTATTTGAGCCTTCATGCTTCTCAATTGTCAGCTTGTTGTAGCATTTATTTTTCAGTCTAGAATATTTAATAAATTGTCTTGTGTTGTAATTATGAGATGTTTTGAAATTATTTTTATCACTTTGGTTAAATATGAGTAATATTTAAAAATGAAAATTTCTCATTTTTCAGAGGTACAGAAATGCTTCATTTGGCTGTGTTGCATCCTAGAAAACTTTGTGTCTACGCTGTCTCAGGTAATAAGCGATTTTTTTCTGATGTGGAATTTGTATTAGTAAATGGATTTCTCACAATAAAAATAAAAATTTCCTTTTGTGTGTGTGTACTGGTACTGTGGCTTAAACTCAGGGCCTCACCTTCTTGCTTAGCATTTTTGCTCAAGACTGGCATTATATCATTTGAGCCATAATTCTGCTTCTGGGTTTATTGCTAATTAATTGGAGATGAAAGTCTAATGGATTTTTCTCCCTGGGCTTGCTTTGGACTGCAGTCCTCAGACCTCAGCCTCCTGAGTAGCTAAGATTACAGTCATGAGCCATCTCTACCCATCAAGAGTAGATAACTTTTTAAAAAAGAATACAAAACATTCATTTGAAGGTTTTCTTGTCTTGGTTAGCATTTTACCATCATTCATTTTACTCTTTTCAGGATACTTAAGCTTCTTGGTTGACTATTTCTTGCATCTTATTTTTCTGGCAGAGGGATTCTTCTCATCTCCTTACTCTCAAGGTTGTGTCCAGGGTTGACTGACCAATGACAGAGTACAGTTCTGGGTTATTTAGGGCCCTTGAGTCTTTAGAAATGTTCACCAGTACCAGTTGGTTTGATGCTGAGCCATAGTGGTTGGAAGTGCATTTTCTTTGGTCAACCTTGAGGGTTTTCTCTTTGTGGTTCTAATTCCTTGGCTTTTAGTTGTCTCCACTCAAGCCAACCTCAAGCACTTATCTTAGGCTTATCAGGTTTTGTCCTGTGACATGGCCCTGTGGATCCAGGTACAGTAGTTGATTGGTTTAGTTTAGCATTTTGTCTCTTACAAATGCTAAAAAATAACTGAAGGTTTATTTTGGTTATTGAATAGGTTTTAGCTCTAATTGAGAGTGATTTTTATGTTTTTCAATGCCAGTGGACTTTTTTTTTTTTTTGGGGTCCGGTCGTGGGGCCTGAACTCTGGGCCTGGGCACTGTCCCTCAGCTCTTCAGCTCAAGGCTAGCACTCTACCACTTGAGCCACAGCACCACTTCCAGCTTTTTTCTTTTTGCTTATGTGGTGCTGAGGAATTGAACCCAGGGCCTCATGCATGCAAGGCAAGCGTTCTACCACTGAGCCACCTTCCCAGCCCCCACCAGTGGACTTTTTTGTGGTTTTGATAGAGCTCAGTGTCTATACTCTGTTCTTTCTTTTGAAATTTGCTGTAAATACTTTCCAGTGAGTTTCTTATATACTTATTCTCTTGATTTGGGCTTGCTTTACTTTTTGTCTTTTATCTGTGTAACAATTCATATTTCCTGTCCTCAGCCTGCACAGTTTCAGGCAGTCTCTTTTTGGGGTAAAGCTCTACTAGCTTTCTGAGGCAATCTAGTTAACAGGTGATCTGGTAGTGGTAGATAGGTAGTAGACACTGCTTCCGCGAATGAAGGGACAGATTGCTAACTCTTTTTCCTCACAATGCTATTTTACCTGTGTACACACTGCCAGTGACAAGGATATTGTTCCTTCTAATGATAGAGCAGAATAAGAAGAAGAGGTTGCATAGGTCACCTGATTTCACGGATCTACTTCCTTGAGAGATTCTCACTATATTAGTCCCAGACTGGCTTGGAACACACTACATAAGAGTTTTATGATCCTCCTGCCTCCATCTCCCAAGTACTGGGATTACAGGCATGAAACACTCCTCCCAGCTCCTGTTCCTCTAGTCTTGATCATTCCAGTGATATTTTACTAACTGGATTCCACAGGCCATAGAAGGGAACTTGCTCACATTTAGTCTCCCTTAGTACTTCATGGGGAATCAGTACCTTAAGGATGCTACAGGGGGGTTAAGCAGGCTAGAGAGAAGGGCATTTTATAAACTAGAAATTAGATTAGACTCTTGGCCTTCCTTGGTCCCATTTGAATTATGGCTGGCCCAGAAAGACAATGCAGTTCCATGGGGCCTTGGTGTATGCACTAAGAATAAAATGTAAAAACATAGTGAAAGAAACTGGACTGTGTGGTCACAATTGTTTATGGTACCTGGGTATCTATTTTCAAATTAGTGTTGAAAATAAAAGTTATTTGCTGTTGGAATGGTGATTTTATTGCTTTCATTTAAAAGCTTTATATTCTCAGGAGATAAGGACTTATCCATTCTGCATCCCCTATGATCACCTTACTTTCCTTAGATTCTCATGTCTTTAGGTTTTTAGGATATTCTTAGGCTGACAGTATATTTTTTCCTGGCTCATCTTAAATTGAGAAGCATTGGAAATGGGTGTTTTTGTTTTCTGAATGTTTCTTGAGATTTCAGAGTGAACTTTGATCTAGCTTCTATTACAAGAGACCTACAGACATTTCCACTTTAAATGAAGCTACTATGTTGGCATATGGGAGTGGTAATATTTGACATCCTTCTCCAGCCTCCCCCCTGCCTCCCTCCTTTACTTTTCTCTCCCTGCATTAGTCTCCCCAGCAGATGTGTATCGCTGCACTTGGCTCAGATTTCTTTCTGTTAGGCTTTGCTTTGTAAGTAAAGTTTATAGATATGTGAGCTTAAGCCATACCAATTTTGTTCTCTTGAGTACTCTTTTTGAAAAGTTTTATACTCCATAATATGCATTTACTAGATGCCTAGTAAAGGAGAGGCTGGACCTTTCCTTAGGTGAATGTGGTATCTTATTTAGATTTTCCCTCCTTTCTCCATGTGTTTAGTTAGGGCTGATTATTCTGGCACCTCATTGGCTCACTTCCAGAAAACCTTATTCTATCATAGCTAGCTGGCAGGTTTGAGTCTTGCTTTGTTTTATATTCTGTGGGTATGTGAAATTAATTGTTATCATTTTAGGGGAATGGGACTGAGAAGAAGTGATTTCCCCAAGAGACCTGCCTTGTTAGTTTTTTCTCTTTTAACTGTTAATAAAAACAAAACAAAACAAACTTAAAGCTGGGTACCAGTGGCTCATGATTCTAAGACACCCAGGCAGACATATGCATGAAACTCTTAGATTCTTTGTCCAGTTAAGCAGCAAAACAGCCAGAGGTGGCAGCCTTTCTCTTCTTCCTGTTCTTTCTATTCCTTCCTCTGTCCCCCTAATCTCTATTAACCCCTCTCCCCCCATATCTGCCTTTGAAGAAGTTTAGGATTACAAGCTTGAGCCACTGCACCTGGCTTTCTAACTAACTGTTCTTAAAATCCTAACACTAGAGAGTAAATACAGGTGAATAATCTTTTATTTTCTGGAATGAACTAGAAAATAATTATAGGATTTTAAGTGCAGAGAGAATGTTTTTCTTTGTTTTGAAGGAGATTCTTCTTGACTGACTTCAAAGAAAACACATTGTCTGATTTACTTGCTGAGGAAAGCTCCAAAGATCATCCCATTCTATTAGAATATATGAGGGCATTTAGTATTTTGAGAGTTGGTGCAGGAAAATGAATTGTTTTGAAGTATTGGGATTTTTTCTTAAACACCGAAGCATTTCTTTATTCTGTTGTAAATGCAAGGAACTTAACTTCATTTATTTCAGAACTGAAATTAGAGAGCTTTGTTGTTATTTCAATAATTACAGTTTACTCAGGCATATCTAATAGAAATAGATCATAAATGTTCCCCATGGTAGTACTTCATCTAATGTTGTGATCTAGCTGAGATTCAAATGTTCTAACTATGCCGGCTTTGTGTTACCATGAAATAATTGTTCATAAGGTTTTAGTGATTTGTCATTTTAAATTTCACTAAAATAAAATTAAGAATTGGTATGGAGAATGAGAAGAAATGAGTGTTTGTTAGTGCAAACAAAGATAAAGTAATCTTATGTTTTTCTTCAGGAACCTTGGGTAATGTGGAGCATGGGAACCAGTATCAGGTCACATTGATGTATGAGCATCACCTTCAGAGGACAGCCTGCAGTATGACATATGGACCGTTTGGTGGTGTTAAAGGTAATTTGCTTTTAATTGTGGCAGATTTAGAATATCTGGTCATATAAAAATAGAGACGATTATATAGTTTTTAAAATTGAGATTAGGTGGTTACATAAATTTCACAGTATTGTGGAATAGTGATACTTAAAGTCACAAACACATTTTAACCTTTACAAGGCAAATTGTCAATAGTTTGTGAATTCTATGAGCTTTGATAATACAATTATATATATAGTTATATATATAACTATATATATATATATAGTTTTAATCTCAGAGAGTTAAACAGATTTGTATTTAAATACTAAAATAATGAATAGTGTATGTATTCATATTCATGTAATCGATATCCATAAATGGTCTACATACTTATTTCTAGATGGTTTTTTTCCTTCAGACTTTGTCTTGTATAAGCTAGCAATGTGAACTATTTTGTGGTAGAGCTCTGTCAGTGGAGGTGACCTTTCCATTGGTGGTGTCCTCTGCCTGATGCCGGCCAGTAGAGCCATGAGCCCCTCCCTCCATCCTCCCATCTTCATGGGAGCTGCTGCATGAGCTCTTTCTGCAAAAGAGCAGCTTGAGGAGGGGACAGACAGGGACTGAATGTAGATTTTTTTTTCTTTTTTTCTTTTTTTTTTGGTCGGTCATGGGGCTTGAACTTTGGGCCTAAGCACTGTCTCTCAGCTCTTTAGCTCAAGGAAAGCACTCTACCACTTGAGCCACAACACCACTTCAGGTTTTCTGGTGGTTAATTGGATGTAAGAGTCTCATGGAGTTTCCTGCCAGGGCTGGCTTTGAACCACGATCCTCAGATCTCAGCCTCCTGAGTAGCTAGGATTACAGGCTTCAGCCATCAGCGCCCAGCTGCAAATGTAGATTTGATCCTGCTCATCAAGCCATGGATCTTTAGCTTGAGAAATAGACTCTAAAGAAAGAAGTATCTGCCTCAGATTTCACAATGGTATCACCTTTACCAGGTATAGCTGTCTTTGTGTCCTGGGGCCTTGGAGTCAATTCCAGAGGACTCCTCCATCCTCTAGAAACCAAAGTCTTTAGATGCCCCAGTCTTTTTATGTTATGTTATTTATTTATTTGGACAGGATCTGGCTACGGAGCCCAGGCTAGCTTGCTCTGCTTCCTGGGTGCTGGGTTTACAGGTGTGCACCACCATACATAACTTTCTTTGTGTACCTTGAATCATGTCTAGATAAATTCTGGAATACTCATGATATTTAATGCAATGTAAATGTTGCAGGAAACATTGTTATACTGTATTGCTTAGGTAGTAATGACAAGAAAAAGTTTGTACAAGAAGCATTTTTCCCTGAATATTTTCCATAGAGCTTGATTGACTCTATTGAAGAACCCAATGACAAGAGAGCTGATTGTCTGGGCTCAGGGAAGCTGTGTTCTCCAGGTCCTGGGTGTTTCTTTTGCTCCTTAGCAAAGGGCTGCCTGCGGCTGGCATGCAGAGGAGAGATCAGCATCTTCTCTCCCCCTCAGCTTATAGAATTGATTTCCATTGTTCTGTAAAAAAAATGACACTTTTGGTGAACTTTGTCTTTCTTAGTTAGCTATTTTCAAGTTGCTTTTCCTTTGCAAATTCCCACATGCAAATGTTGGAGCCTGTAAGTCTGGAGTCCAAAAGTTATTCAAAGAGAAACAAAGTGCTTGTGCTAATTAAAAGCAAGCTTTTTTTTTTCTGTAGCATCATTAACAGTCCTTTAGAACGTTTCAAGTATTATATATAATACATTATATTATATCTTTTATATTATCAGATGAAGTTAACCAACTTAAAGCAAAAATAAAGAATTCCTTTTTTTGTTGTATGTTATAAAGGACTTCCAAAATAATGCAATGAGGTTCAGTATATGAACCTAAAGTATGTCACCTTGGGGATGGAGATGTGGCTTAGTGGAAGAGTGTGTGTGCTCAGCATGTGCATGGCCCTGAGTTCAGTTCATTTGGACACACATGCACGTGTATCACATTACACACACACACACACACACACACACATGGAACTTGACACATTGAAGTGCATTGTAGAAACAAAGATTACTTTGCCTTAGGCAGGTTTTAGATTCGCCTGTGAGAGGAATATTGTATCTGTCCCTGAAGGTGGTGGTGAGCCTTGCTAAGTTCCTCACTTAACCTTACTAAGTAAGTGTTAGGTTTTTAAAAAGAGGTAGCCGAGTAAGAACAGCACCAGGCACGCACGTGGTACTCAGGTAAGGGGTAGGTTTATTTAGTAGACCTGCTGAGACCAGGTTGGCACTCCACGTGGCTGGGGAAGGCCTGGGAATGAGAGAGAGCTGGGAAGAGAGGAAAGAGAGAGAAAAGAGCCAGAAAAGAGCAGAGAGAGGGGTAAGAACAGTAGCACTCACGTGGTATTCAGGTAAGGGGTAGACCTGCTGGGACCAGGCAAGGTTGGCACTCCACGTGGCTGGGAAAGAGAGAGAGCAAGAAAAGAACAGAGAGAGAGAGAGCTAGAATAGAACAGAGAGACCCAGAAAAGAACAGCAAGAGCAAGAGAAAGAGCAAGAGCAAGAGAGCGTCTGGGCCTGGGCTAGGCCTTATGTAGGGTATGGGCGGGGAAAGGTATGGCCACATCAAATTCGGATGTGACCTCAGTGGATGCAGATGTGACCTCTTCCAGGTGTCCCAGTTGCCTAGGTAACGCAGGTACTGGGTGGAGACTTTGCTGCGAGGAGGGTGGAGTCTGCTAGCCATCCAGGAGCTGACCTTACAGTAAGGAAGACCTCACTTCCTTTTTCCTATCATTTCTCTATGACTCTACATTTTCTCATTTAACCCAGCCTAAAATTTACAGGTTAAATTATTTCTCCTGGTCCTCCTTTGCAATGCAGGCTCCCATGTCACATAAAAGTTTTATTAAACCCACGTGAATGCTTTTCCCATCTCAATCTGCGTCATACTGAGACACTTCTGATCCTAGGTTGGGGAAGAATATCTAAGACTGATATTAACTTTGAAAAGAACAGACAGCTTTGTGCCCATGTGGTACTTTTCTTCTCTTAGTTCTCAAGTTATACCTTACATTTTTTATTTTGTCAGCTGTGGGGCTTGATCTCAGGGCCTGGATGCTGTGTCCCTCAGCCTCTTTGTGCTCAAGGTTAGCGCTCTTATTTAAGCAACAATACCACTTTATACCTTACTTTTTTTTTTTTTTGGTCATGTGGCTTGAACTTTGGACTTAGGCTCTGTCCCTGCGCTTTTCAGCTCAAGGCGTTCACTCTTGCTTGAGCCACAGTGCCACTTCTGGTTTTCTAGTGGTTTATTGGAGATAAGAGTCTCACAGACTTTCCTGGCTCGGCTGGTTTTGAACCGCGATCCTCTCATCTCAGCCTCCCAAGTAGCTAGGATTACAGGCATGAGCCACCGGTACCCAGCTATACCTTATATATTAAAAGTACATTTTATGCTGGGTGTGGGTGGCTCACGCCTGTAATCCTAGTACTCAGAAGGCTGAGATCTGAGGATTATGTTTTTCTTTTTTTGAGCCTGGGCACTGTCCCTGAGCCTCTGTACCCAAAGCTAGCACTCTACCATTTGAGCCACAGCAACACTTCTGGCTTTTTCTAGTTATATGGTTCTGAGGAATCGAACCCAGGGCTTCATACATGTTAGGCAAGCACTCTACCATTAAGCTACATCCCCAGCCCTCAGGATCATGGTTTGAAGCCAGCCCAGGAAGAAAAGTTTGTGACAAAAGTTGGTTGGTAAGAGGAACAGATGTTACTGCTAATTGATGGTGTGGTTTTGGGAGGATGCTGAAGTTGTTCTAAAATTGGGTGTGGTTACATAGCACTGTGAATATACTACAGTTGTTGAGTTGTATACTGTACAGGAGTGATCTTTATGATATAGACAGAGATGTCCACATACTCTGTCCTGTTCTCTGTAGCTCATGGCCTTGTAAAGTGATGCAGCCTTCTCTTAAAGCAAGCAGCTCATGGTTAAGAACCATGAAAGAGTTCTCCAATGCTGGATAAAAGTCACCTGTAAATTGTTCACATTTCAAAAATATTTACTTACAAAAATATTTTACCTGATGTCTGTAGCATGTTTAATTTGCACCTTTCTGGGAATGAGTAGGTATTTCTTTTAATTTTAAATTTTCCTTAGAGTTAATCCAAGTAACTCTAAATTCTTCAAAATAGGAAGCAAGTAAAAGTATAATTTGGTGCTACTTCAAGTGTTCCAAAATGATCTAGGAAGGCAGTGCATCTATTTCTTTCTTTCTTTCTTTTTTTAATTATGAAACTACCGTACAGAGGAGTTACAATTACATGGGCAAGATAATAAGTACATTTCTTATCAAGCATTGTTGTTTCCTCCTTTGTTTCCCCTTCCTATCTCATATCCCTCCCCCCCAACCAATATCCCCCCCTCCCCGCCCAAAGTTGTAAAGTTCGTTTTTTGACATAGCGACTTGTACATCTCATTGTTGCAATGGGTCCACCTGTATCCCTATAAAAATATGGAATGCTTCACGAATTTGCGTGTCATCCTTGTGCAGGGGCCATGTTAATCTCTGTATCGTTCCAAATTTAGTATATGTGTTGCTGAAACACAGCACATCTATTTCTATAGGTGATAGTGAGTTGCCACTAGATGGCAGTCTTTTCCCATTTTGTATATTGGTTGGCAATGGCCTGCCTATGAGTGAGGCATATAGTAAGAAATCACTCATGGAGGAATTTTCATCCTTAAATAATGCTTTGCCCTTTAAGAAGAATAAACAGGGCATTTCTTTTATTTCTTAATTTTTTATAACCTGATTTATGTGTTCATTTATTCATTTTGGTGGAGTTTGGACTCAAGGACTTGTGCTTGCTAGGCAAGCATTCTGCCACTTGAGCCACACCTCTGGCCACAGAGTGTTTCTTTAAAAAATTAATTATAGTGTTAACATTTTGTAGAATATAATATCAAAGTGTTTTCTGTCTGCTTTTTAAATTTTCCTATGGATTTGGTCATAAGAAGATAAT